AGTTTGGTAACAATCCTTTCCGTAGGTGAAACGTACGTCCTGGTTTAAATCGTCTTTTACATCAACAGAGATTTCTGAGATGCAGCTCTTATTAACACGTACGTAATGAGCTTTGTCGTATCTGACACTGACTGTTTTGTTAGTCTCGCCATCTATATATACAGTTGCTAATAAAGGTACATAGGCATCCCCAACCGCTTGATAGTCGATTATGTTCGTGTATACATATAGCGTGTAGAATCCGGCATTTATATCAGCATATGTGATGTGCGTGTCTTGATGTTCATCCGAACTGTTTACAGTTTCTATAGAAACCCCTGGTTTTAAACCTAGGATGATCGCTAGTTTGCCATAAAATGTCAACAAAGTCCCGAGGGGCGCTTTCAGAAATACCTTATTCTTTATACGGTCGTAGGCGAGACGTACTGTCACGTTGTGGGTTTTGTTTTGCTTTGTGTATCACGTGTTTCCTTGTTTGTCATGTGATCCTGCCATGTGTCTTGTCTTTTGTTATGATTTTGCTCAGTGTCCACAGGTGTTTCTTATTTACCACACCCCCTTGTTAGCTTGATTAGCTTGTTTGTCTGTGTATTTATACCCCTGTGTTTCAGTTGTTGGGTGTCGGTTGTTGTTTAATGTCACTCGGTTCCTGCCTGTTCATCTGTCCTGTTCTGAGGTCCCTGGATTATCTGTTAGTGTAATTAATAAATGCTTGCGATTGGATTCACTCTCTGTTTCGTTCCTGACCGGATGTGACAGAACAACCGACCGCAAATGAATCCAGCAGCACAAATCCGGGAGTTTGCTGGTCAGATCGCGGCCTTGGCCCTGAATAGTTGTGATTTGTTCCAGTATACCTGGGGGTTTGTTCCTCTCGCTGCCTCCTGCTCTCTCGGTGATGAGGCTATTAAGCTGTGTTACCAGCTAGGGGCTAAGGAGGTCAACCCGAGGGAGCTCCCCAATCTCTCGGGTCTGAACTGGAGAGAGGCGATCTCCGTTTGTGAAGAGAGTTTCATTCCAAAGCTCACCGTCAGCCCTGCCGAGCCCGAGCTTTCAACGCTGGTTCCATCCAGCTCTCCAGAGATTGAATGCTCTTCACCGCTGGTTCCGTCCAGCTCTCCAAAGATTGAATGCTCTTCACCGCTGGTTCCGTCCAGCTCTCCAGAGATTGAATGCTCTTCGCCGCTGGTTCCGTCCAGCTCTCCAGAGATTGAATGCTCTTCACCGCTGGTTCCGTCCAGCTCTCCAGAGACTGAATGCTCTTCACCGCTGGTTCCGTCCAGCTCTCCAGAGATTGAATGCTCTTCACCGCTGGTTCCGTCCAGCTCGCCAGAGTCTGAATGCACTTCACTGCTGGTTCCGTCCAGCTCGCCAGAGACTGTAGGCTCTTCACCGCTGGTTCCGTCCAGCTCTCCAGAGATTGAATGCTCTTCACCGCTGGTTCCGTCCAGCTCGCCAGAGTCTGTAGGCTCTTCACCGCTGGTTCCGTCCAGCTCGCCAGAGTCTGAATGCACTTCACTGCTGGTTCCGTCCAGCTCGCCAGAGACTGTAGGCTCTTCACCGCTGGTTCCGTCCAGCCCTCCAGAGACTGTATGCTCTTCACTGCTGGTTCCGTCCAGCTCTCCAGAGACGGTAGGCTCTTCACTGCTGGCTCCGTCCAGCTCTCCAGAGACTGTATGCTCTTTGCTGCTGGTTCCGTCCAGCCCTCCAGAGACTGTATGCTCTTCACTGCTGGTTCCGTCCAGCTCTCCAGAGACTGTAGGCTCTTCACTGCTGGTTCCGTCCAGCCCTCCAGAGACGGTAGGCTCTTCACTGCTGGTTCCGTCCAGCCCTCCAGAGACTGTATGCTCTTCACCGCTGGTTCCGTCCAGCCCTCCAGAGACTGTATGCTCTTCACTGCTGGTTCCGTCCAGCTCTCCAGAGACTGTATGCTCTTTGCTGCTGGTTCCGTCCAGCCCTCCAGAGACTGTATGCTCTTTGCTGCTGGTTCCGTCCAGCCCTCCAGAGACTGTATGCTCTTCACTGCTGGTTCCGTCCAGCTCTCCAGAGACTGTAGGCTCTTCACTGCTGGTTCCGTCCAGCCCTCCAGAGACGGTAGGCTCTTCACTGCTGGCTCCGTCCAGCTCTCCAGAGACTGTATGCTCTTTACTGCTGGTTCCGTCCAGCCCTCCAGAGACCGTCCAGCCCGTCCAGCCAGAGACCGTCCAGCCCGTCCAGCCAGAGACCGGCCAGACCGTCCAGCCAGAGACCGTCCAGACCGTCCGGCCCGAGACCGTCCAGACCCTCCAGCCCGAGACCGTCCAGACCGTCCAGCCCGAGACCATCCACTCCCCATCTGCCCTTCACCCGGGGACTCAACCCAAATATTTTTTTGGGGGGGGGCCCAGTGTCCCAGCCACGGCCGCCTGAAGGGCTCTCACCGCCGTGGCCGCCCGAAGGGCTCTCACCGCCGTGGCCGCCCGAAGGGCTCTCACCGCCGTGGCCGCCCGAGGGGAATTCACCGCCGTGGCCGCCCGAGGGGTCTTCACCGCCGTGGCCGCCCGAGGGGTCTTCACCGCCGTGGCCGCCCGAGGGGTCTTCACCGCCGTGGCCGCCCGAGGGGTCTTCACCGCCATGGCCTTCGCCTGGTCCTGCTCCGCCCTGGCCTTCGCCTGGTCCGGCTCTGCCCTGGCCGTCGCCTGATCCTGCTCCGCCCTGGCCTTCGCCTGGTCCTGCTCCGCCCTGGCCTTCGCCTGGTCCTGCTCCGCCCTGGCCTTCGCCTGGTCCTGCTCCGCCCTGGCCTTCGCCTGGTCCTGCTCCGCCCTGGCCTTCGCCTGGTCGTCTGCTCCAAGTCTGGTCCTGTTCCCCTGCACAGACTTGGCCCTCCTTCCCTCCCCCAGGACCACCTCCGCGTCACCACCCTCCTGAACTTGTGTTTTGGGTTTTGTTTTGGGTGTTACACTAGGGGCGTCGGGAGCCGCCCATAGGGGGGAGGCTATGTCACGTTGTGGGTTTTGTTTTGCTTTGTGTATCACGTGTTTCCTTGTTTGTCATGTGATCCTGCCATGTGTCTTGTCTTTTGTTATGATTTTGCTCAGTGTCCACAGGTGTTTCTTATTTACCACACCCCCTTGTTAGCTTGATTAGCTTGTTTGTCTGTGTATTTATACCCCTGTGTTTCAGTTGTTGGGTGTCGGTTGTTGTTTAATGTCACTCGGTTCCTGCCTGTTCATCTGTCCTGTTCTGAGGTCCCTGGATTATCTGTTAGTGTAATTAATAAATGCTTGCGATTGGATTCACTCTCTGTTTCGTTCCTGACCGGATGTGACACGTACCCTCTGGGGGAGAGTGACATTTATATCCCTGAGCAAAATGGGTACATCCTCAAAATACCCACATTTTAACGTATTCCGACTCGTTGATAATTTTAGAGCATTCTGAAACGCATCGCCTCTTACATCGCTCAATTCGTGGTTATTCTGTAGTAGACGTTGATCACAGAGAATAATAAAAACAGAGTCATCCTCATTAAATGTATACCACGTCAATGGATATTCAAATTCAACCAATGCCACCTCCCACAGACCTTTTAAATTTATACTTCTAGCCAATCTAGTTCTGTAATTAGGGTTATTATTTTGTTATCAGGGTAGATGTTCATCGAAGCGTTGCACGGAAGCGTGACGTAGAATCCTTCCTCGGCCATGGTAATTATTTAATGGCGTCTGTCATGAATTCACTACGGCTTTAACGGACCTTGTAGATCCATCACCTCTTTTTCAGCTACCCAACTGTTAAATTTGGAGGGCCAACCCCACCATTTGACTAGGACGTACGTGACTTTTCCACGTTTTTGTTTATGCAAAATCTTCTCAATCTTAAATGTTTTATCATCACTAACAATAATTTTCTGTAGTTCTTCCTCATAAAAACATCCATCGATGATTTCACCATCTAAGTCTTGTAACCGGTATACGGGAGAGACACGCGGAATGCAGGCGGTTATGATGAAGTATTCCTCCGTATAATTCTGCTCATACCCCTTAGTAAATATACCTCGGACTTTAGAGACTCTAACGACGTCCTCTAAAAAGGGAATCTGTTTTTCTGCAGTATGCATTATTAGTATGGTGTTTGCTAAGTTTGATAATATCATTAATTACTTTTAAATCAGTCTAATGCATTAAGCCATGTTAGCGTTTCAGAACAACCACGAGGAGGCGGGTTTCGTGACATCTTCGCGTACAATAGAAGTTCCATTTCATTGGCTAGCTAGGCGCCAACCAATAAAACGGCACCTTTGAACACCCCCGCTCCCGCCCCCTTCCGCTCTCGCCACGACTGAGTTACAAGTGCACACGTTAGTTTTGCATCTCATATATCGCTAAAGAAGAAGAAGTTGCAAGTGACTAATTGAGGTTGTATTGCGAATGTGAATGTAAGAATAAATGCAAATATATTGTAGATGTTTGTGACTGTCATTGTATTTTTGTGAATGACATTTTACACATTTGTGACTGCTTGTCTGCAGCTTCAGATTCAGAATACAGCTTTGTGACTATTGTCTGCAAGTGCAAATTTCAACTTCAGATTTTCACTTTGGAGCTGTGAGTGTAAATGGCCACATACAAGTATGAATATTTATTGTACAAGTTCTCAAATTCATATCTACGTGCTCTCGAGTATTGCTATTTTTTTGAATAAGCACATGGTACCACAAAAAGAAAGCCCAACAAGTTTGTAGCTCTACGCCATGTTAAAGTAGTCCCTACATTTCCTGCCGTCTACCCCATTACACTAATTATAATCAAATCTAACTGGCATTGGTCACTGTGAATTATTGGTGTATGAAATGTAGCTGAAGACTGACAACTTTCGTGTTCCATCAAAAAAAAAAAAAAAATCTTACGTTTTTAAGTTATGTGAACTGTTTTTACCACAGCTTTCCTAATTAATTTTTCACAGCTTTGAAGTACTATTTTATTAAATAACTACCCTTATGGATAACTCGTATCTTGTAGTGTGTCAGCACAAGTTCCAAACTGGTTTCCTCCCTGTTACCAATGCTGATGAAGGCAGTTGAAAACAATGATCCCGATCTTGCTGTGAAATACCTGGAGGAAGCAAGAGCACGGATTGATGACATTATTGAAGCTGTGGATGACATGGTGAAGAGGTGAAAACATCATCATTATCTAATCGTGGGAAAGTTTAGTATTTCACCGAAAACAATCATTATCTTAATCAGTATTTGTAAATATCCAAACAGAAGATACATTTCATTGAATAATAAAATTTCATAAAATTAAGTTTTTATTTGCTTTCAGAAAATCTGTGGTAATAAGTACATTTATCCAATTGGTAAATAGTTTTTAGTTTTTTGTTTTTAATTGGTAATTTAAAAAAATTGAGATGACAATGATCTACTATATTACACAAGTGTATCAGTCCATTCACTGTATTCAGTCATTTATCTGAAACACACCATATTCAGGTATGATGAACACAACCAAAATGTGGCGACATGCACCAGTGATGTGGTTCAAGAAAAGCTTGAGACAGAAAAAGAAGAACAGAAATACTCTAAGGAGATAAAGAGTCTGCTGGAGGCCGTGGCCAAGCTTAAGGAGGAGCTGAGAAAAATGACCAAAGATGAAAATGAAATAGAGAAAAAAATTGAAGATAAAAACCATGAACTACAGAATCACATCAAAGATGTTTCCAGAAGAAAACGGGGTTTTGGTATCCTGGCTGCTTTGGTGCCATGTTTTGGAGCCCTTATTAAATGTCTTTATGATGCTGCAACCGGCCCCGGTGATACTGCTAAAACTCAGTCTCTCAACGCTGAACTGTCCCGTCTTTCCTCTGAAAAAAGCAGTTTGCAAAATAAAAAGTGGTCAATCCAAATCAAAGTGACTGATCTTCAGCTGCAGTTGGCCAATTCACAATTACAGCTTGGTGAGTTTTTTTTGTGTCCTGCTTAGAGCTTCCCCAAATAAAGATTTTCCTAGTCGACAAGTAGTTGTTCATTGAATTCATTACTAATCACACAATTATTATGTTAATTAATTTGATAAAAATTTTTTTAATAAAAAACAGTAATCTGCCAAAACCATTCCGCGAAATATAAGACTATATAACTAGAGCCCTCCATGGGTATACATTGTGAAAAAAAATTACACAAACAAGGGCAATGCCTTTAACTAAATTGGCCATAAGATAAAGTATATAAATAATGAAATAATACATCATTTGGCCTAGCCTACTACAGATTGCTATGCAGGAAGAAAATGTACCTGCGTTTACGTTTCGCTAGATAAGACCCTCTTCCTCAGCTGTGATCGTGCACAGACCGTTGAAGCATTTCAAAGACCTTTAAAATTGCATTGATTTAGACTTCAAAACTTTGGTTGCTGTTGAAGTCCAGAATTGTTTTCCTCAAAAAACCTAATTTGTCTTCCACTGAGGAAAGAAAGACATGGATATCTTGGACGGCATTGGGGTGAGTAAATTATTAGGAAATTATCATATTGAGGTGAACTACTCCTTTAATATAGCATCTCATTATACAAGAATAAAGTTCAAGATAAGCCTATACCATTTAAATACCAAAGTAGTGGGGTTTAAATGCAGATTTGCACTTCGCCTCATCCTGTGCTTGCGGCGCATACTCTTAAATTGCATGTACGAATCCAGTGGCACACGTTGTATATCACTTCATTATAAATTAAGCTCAGAAAATCTACAAGCTGGCACCGTCGTGAAAGAACCGACTAATGAAATTTTGGACCAAGGGGGCAGCCCTAGTCCAACTAAATCATCATTTAGGAAATAGATCTACTCAACAGTCACACTTCATAAAGCTGTAGCAGCATTTCCTATATGTTACTGTGTTTTGTGTCCATACAAAAAACAGCAGACTGGAGATATCTGAGATTAAAGTGTTATTTAACCCAAAAATGTAAACTCTGTCAGTAATTACTCACCCTCATGTCGTTCAGCCCCGGAAGACTTTCGTTCATCTCTGGAACACAAATTAAGATATTTTTGATTAAATCTGAGAGCTGGATCACTCCTCCAGTCCATAGGCTTCTATTGTAATTGAAACTTGTCAGCAGAGAGTTAGTAAAGACCATATTTAAAATAGTCTAAGCAACTACAGTGACTCAACCAAGTTTATCAGGCGACGAGAATACTTGTTGTGCGCAAAAACAAAACAAAAACAACGACTTTATTCAACTATTAATTTTCTTCTGTGTGGGCCTCTCACAATGATCCTACATTCTGACGTACAACCCAGATGTGCTGCGCTGTTATACTATGACGCGAAGGAATTGCCCTTTCGGGGTTTGTTCTGCGATAACATCCGACTGGATGTACATTATAACTTACTAAAATAGCCATTATAATGCAATGATATATCCATTTGTTAGAAGATATATATTTATTGTCAGAAACTAATCAGTCAATTAAATTAGAATTCCTGTATGCTCTGCGTAGTGCAGCTGAATATTTTAAAACATCAAACATCATGGCCCCCGTAATGCTACAAGCTTACCGTAACAATTAACATATTTACACGGTAACATGGACTTTACAATAAGGTTCATTAGTTAACTACATTAGTTTGCATTAGCTAAGAATGAACAATACCTCTACAGCATTTGTTAATCTTTGTTAATGTTAATTTCAACATTTACTAATACTTTATTAAAATCTTGTTAACATTAGTTAATGCACTGTGAACTAACATGAACAAACAATGAACAGCTATCTATTAACTAACTAACGTTAACAAAGATTGACAAAAACAGTAACAAATGTATTTCTCATGGTTAGTTCATGTTAGTTAATACATTACCTAATGTTTAATAAATGAACCTTATTGTAAAGTGTACCGTTTACATTTGAATGACAAGGGAGAAATACAATAGAACATGTAGTAGATGTACTACGAGCAGAACAATAGTGAAAGTAAAAGCTCATACTGTGCAATATTTTTAACTTCAAGCATGACAATGACTAAAGAAAACTTCTATTTACTAGACAAATTAAGCTAACTAATATAATGTTCTTATGGTTTCACAACCCATCAATATCTGTTTGTCCAGGTGTGATTCCCAGTCACGTTCATCTGAAGGAAGTCCAGCGGTGTCTTTCTCGAATCCAGAATATTCTGGTTAACCTTGGAATAAATTTCTGGAAGAAAGTGGAAACTCTGCTGGACAATTTGAAAGAGAAGACCTTTGTTGGGGAAGATCTAATCGAGGACCTCAATGACCTGAAGGAGGAGTTTTTGACCTCCATTGAAGCAGCAGAACAGGTAAACTTCAGCCGGGCTCACACTACAGGAGTTTTAGGCCAATTTATACCCGATTTACCCCGTCTGGCAATCTAAAATCCTATACAGAACTTGGTAAATTCCCATGTTCAGCCTAGATTGTCTGATAGTGTGAGGCATTTACAGATCAAATCTTAAACCTCCCAATCTGCTCACAGACACATCGTAGCTGCCCTGATACTATCCAACATGTTTGATATTTAGGATTTAGATTTTAAATTGGGTTGGTTGGCTATGATCATGTCAGTACTTTCACTGTAGCCAATAAAAAAATGTGATTAATGGGGTTAAAAAAATACTTTTAAAGGAACACTCCGACTTTTTGGGACTTTAGCCTATTCACCTTATCCCCCAGAGTTAGATAAGTCCATACATACCTTTTTCATCTCCGTGCGTGCTATAAGTCTGTTTGACGCACCCACCGCTAGCCTAGCTTAGCACAAAGACTGGATGTGAATGGTTGCAGCTTTCATACTAATCCAAATGAGTGACAAAATAACGCAAACGTTTTCCTATTTACATGTTGTGGTTTGTATAGTCACAGACTGTACAAATATCAAGGCCATATGAGACAAAGACATCTTTTAACCGTATAAATACTATATTTTCTGAAGGCGAAGCACTGCTACTTGGGCAGAGTGATAACCGCATCACCTGAGACGCACCGTGACGAGGAGCAGAGAGTTCGCTCAGAAGAGTCAGCAATTACTAACATTAGATAGAAAAGCATAGTTTATCATGGGTGTTTGATTTATTGTATGAGCTGTGACAATAAACAGGGGAGACCAGGGATTTTGCTCATCGAATTAACGTTGAACCAACGTCAGACGCGGCATTCTTCAAAGCTAAATGAAAATCGAAAATTGGTTTGCTTTCATAACGTTGAAACAACGCGTTGATTTTTTGTTAGTTTTGAAAGAATGACGCGTCTGACGTTGGTTCAACGTTAATTCGATGAGCAAAACAATGTCAGATCAACGTTGTTTCGATGTCATATTTCCACGTTGATTCAATGTCAGTTTGCTATCTGGGAAAGTACTGTACATAGTGGAGCTTAGGGTTGGAAATCAAGAATTGAATACTTAAAGGGATACTTCACCTCAGGGAAGATGAATTTTGGTCATTTATATAGTAGAAATGTGAAATTATTTTTGAAATTAAAGTATTCTAGACTGAGAAAAGGCAGAAAATGTATTTTTTACTCATGTGGCTGAAAGACGACAACTCCCAGAATGCAAAAGATCGACTCCTGTGCAGTATGCATACTCCACAGCGCTCGCGCCCACAGTGACTTCTCCCCAAACGATCCTGTACTGTAAGTGAAGCCTAAAACTGATCGTCCTCCATGTGGTGGTAGTCAGACACTACCGGCTTGTCCCTCACGGGCTCAAATGCGTAAACCATGCAGTTAAAAGTGCTCATGCAGCTGTTGTTTATGGTGCTCCGCGGGTCCTACCATGCCAGTGACGTCATCGAAATTGCCTGCGCTAACAAGCGCAATTTTGCGTTGCTTATAAAAAGCTATATTAATATTTTTAATTAAAATGTTTAGTGTAATTTACTTTTAATTGTCATAAACAACACGTTTTCATCGTCGATTTTTTTCAGTTCAGTTCATCTTTCACATTAAAAATATGATGCAAGGCAGGACCATGTCAATACAGTAGCTTAGTAGCTCTGCTCCAATTGAAATCACTATTTCTCTAAACTAATACACTATCTAGGCTTATCCATATTCTACTAACACTAAAGGTTTATAAAAAGAACCACAACCAATGTGAGTTATAACTTTTATTCATCGATCTCACCAGAAGATGTTCCTCCATCTCCCGCAACTGTTTATCGCTGTAGTGCGGCTCATACAGGTAGCTGCGAGCATCTGATTCTCGCCCGTGATTAGCCTTCTATACAAACTTTCTACACAGACCAAGAGGCTAGAGCCCGTTGGCTTAGCTTCTACAGAAAGATGGCTGACACGATGTTTACATTCTGTGAGTGAGATCCCGCCCCATATGGGCACAGTGAAAACATGCGGAACACTGGCTGTAGTCTTTATAGCCTCTGGCCCAAAAATCCTCTGATGACGCAAAATGACGATTTTTGCATCATCAGAGGATTTTTTTCCAGACTTAAAATTCATTTTTCTCTCATATCAGGGGGATATGATGGGGGAAGCACGGTAATTCGAAAATACTACTGGTTTTCTACAGATACAAAGCTTAATGCTAAATCCTGAAGTGTCCCTTTAAGGTCAGGAATAGGATAATTGCTATAAAATTTCGATTCTTCTTATTGATTCCTTTTGTGTGCACTTTAATATGACTTTACTATTCAAGCGCTAGACCAATGCGCGTTCGCTTTAACTCAGCTTGCGCCCCCTAGCGGTCGCTAAGGGGAATGCCTTCGGCATGTCTGGTGTCTGAAGTATAAGAAGGCTAAATACGACAATGATCTTGACATTGGCAGGCGGCAGCCTATGATGTCACCACTGGTATAAAAGGGCACCTGTACAATACGTCATCCACCTCAGGAAGTCAGCAGGAATACCGGCGATCCCTTCTGCGCAGATTTTGCTCATCTCAAACAAGCCTATTATGTTTACTGTGGTGATCAGGAAGGCCGGTGGCGTGATTACCGATGAGGACATCTGTGAGACGCACCGGTCTCGGATCTCTCAGGGAGGAGAATGAATTTTCTTGCAATGCTATAACGTACATCATTCGATCACTTGTTTAGCGTTCATGTAAACACTACATTCAGATTCACCAATCGGAATAATAATAATAATAATACGTTTATTTTATATAGCGCCTTTCTCAAACCCAACATCACTTTACATAGTGGGAAGGCAAGGAAACACACCAGCAAACAACCAGAACAATACAACAAAGATATCTGAATACAAAAGTAATCTGGATGAAGCTATGAGTTTGGTGTGGAGAAATTATCACTAAACAAAAAGGTCTTGAGATGTGCTTTAAAGTAGGGAAGAGAAGGACAGTCCGGAAGAGGTTGTGGGAGGCGGTTCCAGAGTTTGGGGGCCAACGCACTGAAGGACCTGTCACCCAGGTTGGAAAGTCTGGAACGAAGAGCCAAGAGATTTTGAGTCAGAGGATCTGAGTAAGCGGGAAGGTGTATACAGGGGTTAGCAGGTCACGGATGTAGGGTGAGCAAAGCTGTGGAGGGCTTTGAATGTGAGTAGTAGGACTCTGTATTTGATCCGACACAGAACTAGTAGCCAGTGGAGTTGGTGTCATGGGCCTAAGCCTTTCAGCATCAGGTAGAGTAAGATAAGGCCTAATTCTTGCAACGTTTCGTAGATGATGGAATGCAGATTTCATAATACTCTTCATGTGAGAGTATTGTGTTAGGTGGTCAAAAATCACACCAAGGTTACAAGCACCAGAAGATGGAGATAAAACACTATCATCCATGATCAAATTACAGTAAAATGTCTCCCTTTGTGAGTAGCCGCAGGTGTGCCAGAGTAGAATCTCTGTCTTAGAAGAATACAGTTTAAAAAAAAATTATACATCCACGTTTTTATTTCCTGCACACATTCTGAAAGAATTTTAGATATAAAAATGATAACCCAGACCATATATTTCCTTATTATTTGCCCAAAAGGAAGCATATAAACACTAAACAATATGGGACCCAAGACAGATCCCTGAGGAACACCAGAACGAACTTGTCCAATATCAGATTTGTTGTTTCCCAAGACAACAAACTGGGAACGATCAGTGAAGTAAGATTTAAACCAGTTTAGTACAGTGCCAGTGATACCAAGCCTATTTAGCAGGATAGAATGACACACTTGAGTCAAAAGCTGCACTCAGATCTAACAAGACCAAGATGATAGAGGCTCCAGAATCAGCTGAGAAAAGCAGGTCATTCATGACACGAACCAAGGCTGTCTCTGTACTGTGTCCCTTTCTAAACTCAGACTGAAAAGGTTTGAAAAGCTTGTTGGATGACAAGTGTAAGAGGAGTTGTGCCACGACAACACGCTCTAAAACCTTGGAAAGAAAGAAGTTGAGATTTGAGATAGGCCTGTAGTTTGATAGGTCTGACTTATCACATCCAGGCTTTTTAAGGACTGGTGTAATAGCTGCAACCTTTAGGGCTTTTGGAACAACACCAATTGTAAGAGAGGTGTTCACAATACTACAAACGAGGGGACTAGTTGAAGAGAGACACCCCTTAAGAACAGATGTTGGGATATTGGAGAATGCAGATTTATGAAAATTAACTGGATATTGGTCTCAGGAATTGCAGAGCAAGGTAGTAGACTGATATAGACTTGTAAATGCTTATTTTTTTCCCATAAAAAAGCATGAGAAATTTGTTACACTCCTGCACAGAAGAACAGATTGATCCAAGATGCATCCAAGATGTAGGTGTCTTTGTTTCCACAGTATTTTCAATTTTGATACTTTAGGTCAAACCCTTCTTGTTTGTCAGTCATATAATGCAGGTATGGGTGTCCACCTCAAAGAGCATGCACAGAGAAGTTCAGATTAAACATGATTTAATGACTCGTAAATGTAAGTACACATTGATGGCCTAAGACACGAAACGAGCAGTTTGTGTGAGAAACGAATAGTATTTATATCATTTTACCTATTGCACCCACAGCCACGTCATAAAGTGTGTGAAAGTTTATGATGTCATTTGGCTAGTGCCAAGTCTCACACATCAGACTGATCTCATGAAGTAGCGTGTGTATGACACGCCAATTCGTATTTCCATTTTTGACGTGCTATCAACACGCATAATCGCTTTTCAGCGTGTTTATGAACGCCGTTGACTTAACGTTATTACTGTATAGTATAAATAAATGACTTACCTCAACCCCGTCCCTAAACCTACCCGTCACTGGGGTTAATAACACGGCACTTGACTCGAAAGTGGCGTGTATGTTTACACAAAAGTCATGATGTCATGTTGCACACATACAAAATAAATCCAGTGCATTGTTCAATGGTATTGTAGAGTTGAGCATTGCATCAAAATGTTTGTTCTTTGAACAATAAGACTGCTCAACTCTACAATACGTGATAGCAGGGGAATCCGCATGACAGAAACAGAGAAATACAATTGGAGTTACTTGAGGTAGAATCAAGAGTCCATTTTTACAGCAGCACAGATAGCAATAAAATAAATGTACACTTGTGCATATGTGAGTAAATGATTTTGGGCACATCTTGAGTTTGTCAATTTATTTTTAGTAATTGTGATTAATCTTTTGTTTCTTTAATCTTTCAGTGCTGGCAGAGATTTGGTGAATGCTGTCAAAAAGCAAAAGACATCTTCAGAGTTCAGTCTAGAGATGCATATCAATTCTTAGAGATCGATCCAGCCAAACTTTCGAAGGATGAATGGGATGAGCAACATAAGTCTGTCATGGAGAAACTGATTCAAATCAATCCCTTGGAGATGTCTATAATCATCACTGAATGACGCACAGAGACCTGATGCTTTACATTTACAATGTTAATTTTTACTCCTTACAATGACATTTAATACTTACAGATTATCTTCATGTAGCAGATTTAACCCACCTACAGGCTCTTCGGGGGATCATGTTTGGGGTTTATTAAAGACAGGACAGGAATTAATCAACACACTCTCAGTTCTGTAATCATATATTTTTTCTTCAACTTATTAAATTACATGACTTTACTGCTACTATCTTATTTTGCTTCTCTATCATATTTATAGTGTGTGATTTGCAAAATCATAGGGTGACCGTCTCCGGTTTCAGGGAACAGTTCCCGTTTTTGTTGGCCTGTCCCTGGCTAAACGCAGAAAAAAATACCTCTGTCCCCATTTTGTTTTTGAAGACACAACACTACGCCCCCTCTGGCGACAAGCGAAACTGCGTGCGCGCTCACACACACATACACGCACGTTTGGTTTGCACGAGCTGTTCATATAACCAAAGGAGCATCAGCCGCACACACTGTGCGGCACACATCTTTTGTTACAGTCATAATGAGGTAATACAGTTATAAATCTGCAGGTCATTTAAAATATATGAAAGGAAAAGCATTTAAATAAATTACACACTTATGTGTGTGTGCGAGGGGAAAACAGGGGTAGTAGAAAACTTCGGTTTTTGTTTCCAGCTATCTCTATATTGAACTGTTTTATGTGCTTACTCAACGCCTGCGATATGTTATGGCGCCGTTTTATATAAACAATATTTATATTTAATATTTATATATAAACAATATGAATGTAAGCCAGAGGAGAACTGGCCCCCGACTGAGCCTGGGTTCTCCCAAGGTTTTTTCTCCGTCCAATCTGATGGAGTTTGGTTCCTTGCCACTGTCGCCTTGCTTTTGGCTTGCTTAGTTGGGGTTATTTAGTATTTAATATTTAACAATATTATTGATCTGTGTTGTACTACTTTCATGTTATTACTGTGAAGCTGCTTTGATACAATCTGTATTGTGAAAAGCGCTATATAAATAAATGTGACTTGACTTGACTTGACTTAAACGGTCTGTACACTTACAAAGATCTCAATGCTTCGTTTTGCATTTATGGACCCTCATTATGTTAATGTGGGGCTATTTTGAGCCTTGTTAGTGGTATAAACTAGCGATTTCTTTTTACTTACTCAATGCCCCCAGTACTAGCATTGCTAAACAGTTTTTAGAGATAAAACTCCTTTACATTCGATTATCATGAAAACAAATCTCAGAGAACGGTTGACTAGGTACCGATGTTTTATTAGACCAAAGGTTCATTGTTCGCCAGAGTTCTCCTTTAACATAAATGTTTATTTTTTTTTAGAAAAATAAATCATAGGAATACATACAATGCAAGCTCGTGTGTTCCTAAAAGTTGGAGCATCAATCAGCACATACTGCAATAACTGTAGTAATCCAAACGACCACGAATGGGTGGATCAATGTCTTCTGAAGGGAAAGATAGGTGTCTGTAAGAAAAATTACAATATTTGTATTGTAATTTACAAACTACAAAACAAATCACTTCAGATCAACTGTAATAAGTTGTTTTTCAAATAAAGTTTTCCGAGTCAGTGATATTAGATTGTGTATGTATTTTTATTTGACTTACCCTGTAACATGGAACTGTCACGGGTGTGGGCAGGTAGAAAGCAGGCTGAGGCAAAAGCTCCAATTCCAAGATTTACTCAAAAAATGAAAATAATAAACAGGTTCAGGCAGGCTGGCAGAAAGATCACGCACAAAACTGAACAGAGGGAAATTAAATACAGAAACTGAAGACAATGATGAATAGAAGACATGGATGACGCTAATTAACTAAACACAGGTGAATAAACTGACGACAAACGAGGAGCGGGAAAACTGAATGGGACTAAACCAAAACACTAAGAAAAAGGGGAAACAAAGAGTCAAACAGTAACAGGAACAAGACTATTTCCCAGTATTTATTTTATTTTTAATAGTTTTAACTTTACTTGCCTCGAAACATGTATACCAGACATCTAAACTTTTGCTATAAAAAATACGTACATGTACCCTGTAATTTTTAAAAATCCTATGCAGTATTGGTACACCATTATTACAAAAAGGTACGCAGTGTATGCTGTCGCTAAATTGCTTCCAGTCCAAATGTTTGATTGTTGTATCAAAATAGTAAAATAAGAACCCCTTAGTTCTAAAATACTTACAGTATAAAAAATGTGTTAATTCTCCTGGTTGTTACCCCTTTATTCCCCAAACTTTACATATTGTTCCATTATGGTACACTAAAATTACAGAAAGTTACACTTTGAGGATCATGTTCGTACAGTCTGACAAGCATAAGAAAGTGTTCCTGAGTTCTACATAAAGCCCCTATACATTAAAAGCAGTATTCAGCCCTAATTTAGCATATTGAAAGCAAAATCCAAATGGCTATAAATATGTGAAAAGAAAAAAGCTTTTAATTAAGCCAAATGCATGATTACAGAATGCAGCGCTTTTTATGACTTGTGAATAAAACACTTTAGACTAGAATGTTACGAAAATGTCTATGACTACATCTACATGATATAGACTAAGCATGCATTTCTTTTCTAGTAAAACTTTACCAAAGCTGGATAAAGCCTCCATATTGAAAGATTTGCAGTGGGTTACATGTGTGAGATTTAAAGAAGGAATTTCATGAGATTTAAGTAGGTTTATGTCAGTTTCTTTTTATCATAAAAACAAAGTTTCAATAATACCACAATGGATAGTGATGTAATTTGTAATTACATTGACTGCAACTCATTATTAAACAAAAAAGCAATGTTTGCAGATATATAAATGATTGCTTGAAAAGTTATAATGAAGGTACAGTACAGTATTTAAGTGAAGCACTTGATTATTCTTGGAGTTAAACTGATATGTTTTCATGATTTAACGGGCGGCAGCGGGACTCCAGTCGGAGGGTTTGGATCATCTGTAATCTTTAAATCACGGCAGAACAGCACTGGTTCTTCACCGAGACCCAGTTTGTACTGCCACAGATAGACAGACTTGTTTGGCTTCAGCTCAAATGAGAGTTGTTCTTCTTCCTCAGTCGCTTCGTTCCAGCTTTGCTTTTCAGTGCTGACGTGTGAATCTACATATTCTGCAGAAAAGGTGAACTGAACCTTCGCGATTAACGCTGCAAGCTCTGCAGATTGACATGTGACTGACGAGGATATCTTCCAGTTGTGTGTGATCTGGGTCATCTTCTCCTTATTGTAACCAACCTTTTTATTGACTTTCTTTCGCCATGTCACTGGTGTATTGCTGTCATTAGTTACAGTTTTAATATTCTCCCAAACGCCAAAGGCTGGGCCTTTAGTTACTGTCAGCCCACCAGGAAGGAAGTTAAGAACATCAGGATGAAAAGAATAGACACCAACACACTCATCTTTGTTGAGGTCGGTCCCGCTGTAGAACTCAACTCCCCAATCTGAGACGGGCTTGATGAAGGAGAGTAGATGTTGTACGCCCCAGTAATAGAGGCCGTCTTTGCAGTTGGGATGCAGGTTGTATTCTGTACCTTCTGAGTCGTGATTCATGTCTGTTGTTCTTCTATAAGTGCCCTTTTCTTGGAAGATGATGTAAAAATACTTAGTGGTTGCAAGATAGTGGTCTCCACCCTGGCAGTTGGGATGAAGAGTGAAAACTTCAGCATCGCTGTCCGTCGTCAGGTTCTTAACTCTGCGGTAGGAATTGCCCTTGATGATGTAAAAGTTGCCATTCCAATCGCCAATGTAATAGTCTCCATTTTGGCAGGAAGGGTGCAGACTGAAAATAGAGACGTTATAACCTCTATTTAAATTATTTGACTGCATAAAGCAGCCGAGATCTGAGCGGATTATATAATAATTCCAGTCGCCCATTCCACAAAAGTCAGTGCCTTTAGTTTTGCTCTTGGGAACAATGCTGTTCATCGTGCCTGAACCTGCAACACAGAATAATACGACCATATCACCCCCATCCTCGAATCATTCCACTGGCTTCCTGTCTCACTCAGGATTGAGTACAAGCTCTCCCTCCTCACACACCAGTGCGTTGTTTATGGCGACGAACCCCCTTACCTCAAGGAACTCCTCATCCCACAAACTTCCACACGTTCCCTCAGTTCTGTTTCATCTTATCTTATCGGACTAAGCTACGTACTATGGGAGATCGGGCTTTCTGTCCAGCCGCTTAAAGTCTGTGGAAAACTCTCCCTGACCATCTGAGGACACCATCACAGAGTGTGGATGCTTTTAAATGTGCTCTTAAAACTCTCTTTTTTAGAAGAGAAAACTCACTTTTTAAAATTTTGGTTGTTTCTAAATTGTAGCACTTTGGGATTTTGCTTAAATATAGAGTGTGTTACAAATAAAATGTATATATATATATGAAGAAATGCACAAATGCGGTTTCTCAAAAGAGAAATTGCAGCTTATAAGCAAACTAATGACGCTGCTGAGACATTACATCACATCGGTGTCACGTGTCTTTACGGGATTTTTACGGGTTGTGAGTGAACGCACTCTCTGATTCCGGAAAATCACTGGCAGTGTGAATAAACGAAAGTCAAATGAACCCGGGTCACTTTATCCGTGTATTTTCCGGAATCTCTTACCATCATATATAACCCTTACCTGTAGGTCAAAGCTGTTAGAAGTTGTTTCAGGGTCCTCAGCGGTGTCCGATGCAGTTCAGTCCTGGGTCTGTTTCATTGGGCTTTTGCTTAGTATAAATATCTAAACTACCATAAAATTAAGATACTTCTAGGAAAAACTCACTCTGAGACTTGTTTTGAAAGTCAACAAAAAATATGGTTTCGTTTTACTTAAAAAAAAAAGTTTCAGAATAATACAAAGACAATAAATTCATAAAGGAAAAACAACAGAAGTGTATAGGTCTTCACCTCGAAATGCGGCCCAGAGGAAAACAACGGGAAACAAAACCGGTTTGGTTGGGGGCGTCTTAAGAGTTTGGGGCTGGGCATATAATGAAGCATCACCTTACAAGGTAAACTAACTGTCTTAAAACTTTCCACAGTTGAAGCTATTATGCACTACGCACATGTACAGCTCATCTTTTGCTGCCTACGCCTAAAAAGCTTATTATTTATTTAATAGTTATTTGACCCGCAGGTGCTTGTTTTAACTTGAGCGCCTGCATTTTTATCACCGTGCTGGAAACACTTACATTTCACTCTTATCTAATCTGTAGAATGTTAAACAGAGAAAAGAGGAACAGAGCCAAATACTTTTCACGTCAATGAAGTATTGTACTGACTGAACACGGCAATGTTACTAGATATTCATAAAACAAAAATAAGTTAGTGAATATGAAATTAATTCTGAATTTGAATGTAAATTCAAGGCCACGCTCAAACTTTAAATAAGATTAACAATAAAAAAGATGTGAGGTTTAACTAAAGTAAAGTCAGTTTGCTGTGATTGTGTGGTTAAATCATCGAAGGTCAGCAGCGACAGTGCTCTGATTCGGTTCATGATCTTTTGTGTCCAAGAAAAGCAAAACAAGAACGGTTGTTGTATTTTTAAATCCTATGTTGAATACCAAAATTTTAAACAAAACCATAAACACAAATCGTATGCGCACAAAATAGATTTTTTTTTTGTTTACTACGTTCGTATAGTTATGAAAAAATAAAAAATGAGCAGATTAAAGTTGGAAAAAAATCAATTAATTAGTTTTCTTTTGCAAGTCTGTGGAAACATGATAACGCTAAGCTAATACATTATCTATAATCCATACTCTACTAAAGGTTTATAAAAAGAACCACAACCAATGTGAGTTATAACTTTTAATTAAAAAAATAATTAATATTAACACTATTACGCTCAAAGCTCTGCGGATTCAGCGATCTCACCAGAAGAAGTTGTTCCTCTATCTCCCGCAATTCTTGTTTATCACTGTATTGCGGCTCGTACAGGTAGCAGCGAGCATCAGATTCTCCACCCAACACCCATAGACTAAAAATTAATTTTTCTCTCATATCAGGGGGACATGAGGGGAGGAAGCACGGTCATTAGAAAATACTACTGGTTTTCTACTGATACAAAGCTTAATGCTAAATCCTGAAGTATCCCTGATTCTTGAATCCTGGTGACCCTGATTCTTTGATGTTTCTCATAGGTTGTGGTTAACTGATTGTAATCTTGCCATTCTTTTTTTTTCACTTTTCTTCACTTTCTTGATATAATCTTTGCTTAGTTTAGTTGTGTGTGTAGCCTTACCATAGTTTTGTTTATTAAACCATTATATCAACGCCTTATTGTCTCTGTGTTTGCCACTCACAAAAATATCAAAGTCTTAAACCTCTCGATCTAGTGATAGCTATGCTATTACCCTGCTAGTTCTTTATTTACTTTAGTTGGGACAAAGAAAGCATAATAATTGATAGATAATATATTAAATAATTAGTGTTGCCTTTAATTATTGTTATTGTTGCCTTTGGCTTGCTCAGTTGGGGATATTCAAATTAAATGACCCATCATACCATTGATCAGCTCTACCAAACTTGGATGTCTTTTTTCCAGTAATAAACAAACACTGTTAAGTTGTCTTGATTTATACTGAAGCAGCTTTGATACAATCTGTATTGTGAAAAGCGCTATATAAACATATTGACTTGACTTGCTACACAGCTACAGTTAATAGTAAAATATTTATCTTTTGAGCTAATTTGCTAAATGATGTTTAACTAAAATTAAGTAAATTTGCTGTGATTTTGTATGGTTAAATAATCGAAGGTCAGCAGCGACTTTGGTCTGATTCGGTCCAGGTACTTTCGCATGGTCTGCGTACCTTATGGTAATTTGATTTTTGGTTTTGAAAGAGAATTTTAAAAATAATATCATCTAATACTCACTAAAAACAAGAAAAAAAATTTCCATTTTTTTCCGTTGATGCGAGGAAAAAAAATTCATCAAGAAACTAAGACAGAAATTCTTTAATTTGAATTAATTAAATGTATTAAATTTACACAGTAAGTTAAGAACAGCAAGTTACATTATGCCAAAAGAAGGAATTTGACAGGAATGAAAGTAGCTTAATTTGAGGTCTTTTTTATACTTTTTAACAGTTAATTCTGGGAGACCGACCGCTTGTGAATTGGAGAAGTTGTCATTTTGTTCTCAGAAAGCCTCGATTTTGATGATTTTGTCTCTTATTTTCATTGTGATTTTCATTTCATCTATGATAGTACCATCGAGTTTTACGTTTGAATATCCACAAAGGAAAACACCATCTGAGGCGTATCTAACAGATCATCCCTGGAGGAGCAGGATTGGTGGATTTCCTCCAAAAATCCCTGTTCCCTGTGTCATGTCAGTCCCTGCATAGCCAATAATGCAAAAACAAAACAAAAGGTAAGTAGGAATCCGTATTCATTTCAGTATCAGCAGATGCAAAATGCCATTAAAGGCGACAACTTTTAAAGTAAAAAAACGATCAAAGTTACGTAAACAATAAAAGCTCCCATTTTGAGCAATTTGAGCAACCATAAATGACGCAAAACATAGGCATTTTGAGTGTGTGATTGTGATTCCTATGTAGAAAATGGCTTCCTGCCCTCCATCTGCATCTCGTGCCGCAGCAGTGACGTCATATTTTTACAACTTATTAGCAGTGATATTGTTAGGCTTTTCTGTTTACAGCGAAGAAAGCCAATTGCCTGTACGAAATATGATAGCATTGTAATATAACAATATAATATGTAACAATTAAGTGTACAGTGGCTTCATAAATTAATTAAAAACAAAAAAACAAAACACATTCTTTGTCTGGATATAATGTGTTGTGGAAAGCTTTGTCCACACTGGGGAAAGGCATCCGCTCACGGCTGATGAGGTAATGTACGGAAGAGTTTCACAGAAATGTGACTTGTTGAGGTCAGTATTAGAGTAATGGTTGAGCCGAATGAGTAACCTATCTCTCAGAATCATTAAGTGCTGAATGTAAACATCCGTTATAACTCTGTTATAACCTAAACTTCAATGTTCACATCCACGTACAAACCGAGTGACAGTTATGATAAGTAGGATAATTCGTTCTGTTAACACACACCGTAGCTCATTCTGATGGTGTTATCTTTGTTTTATAAGAGGGGACACTCCTGACCAAAATCAACATAAATCAGATTTGCGTTTTTGCATAGATTGGAAATGTTATACAACAATGGAAGTGTGATTGACAGATTCATTTCAGTAAGTTTGCCCTTACACAAAGAAAATATATTTCCTTATTAACACATAGAATCAGTAGTATCCTTGCATATCAGGGATATGCATATATGGTTTTCTAAATACCCATGATGCCAGGTCCCATAAATGATATTGTTAGGTGGGTTCGGAGGTATGCCCCCCACGGTACTCTAACTGGGTACCATGTTGAATGTTTTTTTTATTCACGAAATTGGATTAGCAACTAAATGATGCACATCCTGCACAACCCTGCACTACACCACTGGATATACATGTGATAAAATATATTACTGTCTATGTATAAATATATTTGAACATATTTGAACTGTGTGTCCAAATATTTGTATTTAAATTTATATTTGTAAAATATGTCAAAGGTAGCAGTATAGATGATTCATAAAACAGAATGACCGAAAAAGCAATATTTAATAATCACAAAGAGATATAACACACTACACACCTAACACAACGTTAATGCAAGAAAATGACGCAGAGCCGAGAGCGGATGAAGGCCCACGGTGGAACTGATGGAGGGAGGATCCAGGCTGGAGTCAGGAGCGCGAGCGAGTGAGGTGGAGATGAGACCCAGGCACAGCAGAGGAGGAGAGCCAGGGACAAGCTGAAGGCCTCGGGGGCTAAGGTGGAGATGTGGGCTTGACGGTGGAGACCAGCAGTGGGACACGACGGGATCACAGGAGGACCCGAGGGGCTAAATGGAGACGGTGGAGACCAGACGGTGGAGACACAGCGGGAACACTGGAGGAGCCGAGGGGCTAAATGGAGAGGGTGGAGACCGGATGGTGGAGACCAGACTGTGGAGAGCTTGCAAAAGGTTTCTTTTTCCCAATGTGACAACGCATTCTCACCCCAAGGCGTCACCTTTGACCATGCTTCAATATTTGATGTTTTAGGCGCTCTTTAGCGTCACTTACATGACGCGATCCTACGGCGTCATCTAACTGACGCTAAAGGAAAGCGTCAGTTAGAGGAAGCGGTTAGGTTTAGGTGTGGGGTGGGGGTAGGGTACACGCGATCCTAGGGCGTCATCTAACTGACGCTAAAGGGCGCCTAAAGCGTCAGATATTGAAGCATGTCCAAATGCTTCCCAAGGCGTCAGTTAAGTGACGCCTTGGGGGTGAGAATGGGCTGAATGTGAAGCAGGGACAATACTCGTGCAAAGTCTTCGTCGATAATGGTCCAGTGTCCATGTGCAGCATCCAACTCAGAAAGAAGTGGAAAATAGAAAAGAAGATAAAAAAAATGGACAAGGAAGGGGGGAAAGAAAATAAAGAGACCAAAAGAAAACACCCAACCTTGCAAAAGACAAGGCCCAAAACACAAACAGACATTTCCCTCAAAAATATATATTATTACAACATTTAGTCTGACTATATACAACACTCAACATCTCCGACTTCAACTTCGTCTAACTTCAGCACATCAAATTTTCAAATGACGTGCTTAGGCCTCATCTGCCCGTATTACATGTGCATCACAATCGGCTATTATCTCATAGCTCAATTACATGACAAAATACATCAGAATAATATCTGTTCAAAGTAACTTTTAGCTTTCTTTCTGTCTTTCTTTCTTTAATTTTGTAAAAATAACAACAACATTTATGTTTAACTTAAAATACATAGAATTTAGTTGAACACAAAAGGAGATGTTTCTCCCCAAGTCTTTCTCTTGCAGCTGTGATGGTTTGAGGATGACCTCAAGTCTTGTTGTAAATTTTCCTGGAAGTGCCTGGTCACTGTTGTGTGCCGTCTGTATGCTTCAGAGTCGGGCACACCCTCCAGTGTGACCCGAGAACATATTAGCCAGCGGACCGTGTGCACTAATAGCTAAACACACACACACACACACACCACAGGAGTGACGGCTGGAGAACTCCACAGGGACAATGAGCAGCATGGCGAGAGAGATCATGGCGTTCGTGCTCACCACGTCAGGCTGGGTGCTGGTGTCCTCCACTTTACCCACGGACTACTGGAAGGTGTCTTCGATCGACGGCACGGTGATCACCACAGCCACCTTCTGGTCCAACCTGTGGAAAACCTGCGTGACTGACTCGACTGGCATCTCCAACTGCAAAGACTTCCCTTCGATGCTGGCGCTGGACGGTCAGGCTTTCCTCACGTGTGTGTGCTTAAAAGTGGCCAAAAGTGATGTAGGAAAATTGACATCTTCATTGTTCATTTGACTTTTTTTTTAAACTGGTAGCTGTAGTTTACCTTTTTTGTCAAATAATTTTCTGCGATGAATATCCAAACCAAAGTTTAGTGTTTTGATCTTCCCTCACATTTTAGATATTTAAAAAATATAAAATAGATACCTCATATTTTGAGGGTTTAATCAAACTTGTAGGGTCATTAAAAACAAATTTTACCTCCAACATCACTTTTGACCACTGCTGTATGTGTTGGTTGTTTAAGAAATATTTCAGATTGCCTTGTCAAATGGAAGTAAAGCACTTCATCTGATGTTGATCAGCATTAAAGCTGATCTCGGATCATCTCAGATCATCATGTCTGGGTCAAACACATGCTGAAATTCAACCTTTACTCAGACTGTTACGCTTATAATTTCTTTTGGAATTCTTAATACAATATAAAAGCATTTTCACTAGTCATTTCAGGCTTCATGAACACACACTCTCTAAAATAAAGGTCCTTTATTGGCATTGATGGTTCTATGAAGAACATTTAACATTCATGAGCCATGCAATTTTCCATTCCACAAAAGGGTCTTTATAGTGGAAAAGTAAAGTTTTAAAGAGAAGTTTTGTTTCTAGGTATAATGTTCTCAAAAGAGCTAACCATTTGTGCAAAGCAAACACACGCAAGTCTGAAACAACTCTGTTCCTTCTAATATGTCAATGTTTAGCACTTTTCGGAAAGCTTAGGGGAACCATTTAGATGTATTTACCCCCAGGCTGTTTTCCATTCATTCATTTGTTTTCTTGGGTTAACTAGTGAGCTAATATATCTCCAGAGAACAGCTAGAAGAGCGTGTGTGTGTGTGTGTGTGTGTGTGTGGACACCAGTCTGCTCTTCCATGACTAAAGGACAGACATCCGAGAAATAAAGAGACCGTGTTTAAACACAGGGATTAATTAATCACCATTTTAATAGCAAGATCTAAGAGATTTTCTGTTCAAATACTGAATTATGAATGAATTACTCATTTTTATTATACACTCACCAGCCACTTTATTAGGTACACCTTGCTAGTACCGGGCCTCTTTGTCCTCAAGAACTGCCTTAATGCTTTGTGACAGATTTAAGAAAGTGCTAGAAACACTCCTCAGAGGTTCTGGTCCATATGGTCATGATGTCCTCACACAGTTGCTGCAGATTCCAGCACATCCCAAAGCTGCTCTATTGGACTAGATCTGATGAGCGTTTGATTTTACTGAACTCATCACGATCAAGAAACCAGTCTGAGATGATTTGAGCTTTGTGACATGTGTTATACTGCTGGAAGTATTCATTGGGAGATGGTCCACTGAGGTCATAAAGGAATGGACATGGTCAGCAACAGTACTCAAATCGGCTTTGGCGTTTAAACAATCCTCAATTGGTACGAAGATGCCCAAAGTGTGCCAAGAAAACACCATTACACCAGCAACAGTCTGAACCACTGATACATGGCAGGAGGATCCATGCGGTTTCATTAAACCGTATTCTGCCTACCATCCGAATGTCTCAGCTGATATCTAGACTCATGTTTTTCCAATCTTCTTCTGTCCGGGTTTGTAGCCTCAGTTGGTTGTTCTCATCTGACAGGAGCGTCAGCGGTGTGTGTCTTCTGCTGCTGGACCTCGTCTGCTTCAGGGTTGGATGTGTTGAGCGTTCAGGGATGCTCTTCTGTAGACCTTGGTTAACCAGTGCTTATTTGAGTAACCGTTGCCTTTCTATCAGCTGAACCAGTCTGGCCATTCTCCTCTGACCACTGGCATCAACAAGGCATTTTCACTCATTATATTTTCTCTTTTTTTCCCTCTGACCATTCTCAAAATGTTTCAGTTTCTGTTAGAATGTGAATCGGTGGTTAAGAAACTTACGGTACAGTTTGATGACTCTGAAATTGGATAAACAGATGAAACAGATTAAATCCTGCTTCTGTTTGTGTTTAGTCATCTACTAATCTGGAGAAGTGCTTTTCATTTCTGTAAGACTGGACTAATGTAATTCCTTGTATGCTGGTGTGAGCCAATCACTGTTAAATCGCAGTGATTGTTAACGAGTGTTCGTAAACACCAGCATATCACAAATCAATGGCTTCCAATTTAATACAGGGTCGATTTTAAATAACTAACCTAAGTATAAAGCACTACACAATCTGGCACGCTCTTATGTAAATGATATTTTACACACTCTTTTAAAAGAAAATTGAAATTAATATTACTATCATCAGCATTTGACTCGACAGTTTGATGTAACAAAAGAGGCTCTTGTTATTTTTCTTTATTTTTTATCTTTGTGAGATGTTGGTTGTATGCATTAATGGCTGCTGTGTGTTATTTTACTACATGCATGATTGTACAGCACAAGGGTCAACGTTCCATTGTTTTAATTGTGCTCAACAAGTAAATAAAACAAAGAAACAAGAACAAAGAAGTCCTAGCTGTATTCTCGGCTCGCAGCTCCACCACCTGTGGGAGGGACATGAGAAGCCAGGTTTGGTTTTTGAAGAGCTGGCTGAGAGGAATGTGGACGTTTAGTTGGTGTGAGCTCATCAAGTCCTTAAATCCACCTGAGTCCAAAATTGAACCTATTTACTTTGTTAGCGCATATTACTAGTCTTGTGGTGAACAATTAATCCGTGCAAGTGAATATATATTAAAAAAATGTTTTACCTTAGTAATCTTTAATCAAAATCTGAAAAGTTACTTCCGGTCTGGAACGGTTTCTTTTTCTGATGACGTAGGTTTCACAGTTTGGGTGGGGAAACGCTTAACCACTCCCCTCAAACCGTTAGTTTGCTATGAGCGAGAGATGGAGAGGAGGAGCGCTAGAGTCAAACCCTGCCCTCTGTTCAATATTCCGTTTCACTTGGAAATACGTCACAGCACTGGAGAAAAATCGTTTGCAACTTCCGGTTCACGGGGACTTTAAGGTCCACCGCTGGTTGCAGGCAGGCAAACTCATGCAGCGCTGCTTCTAAGTGGGCACAGTTTGGCCAGGACACCGGGGTTAAACCCCTACTCTTTTTCTGAAGGACATCCTGAGATATTTAATGACCACAGAGAGTCAGGATCTCGTTAAATGTCTCATCCATTGGATTGTGCTTGTAACAGTACAGTGTCCCCATCACTACACTGGGCCATTAGGACCCACACAGAGCACATGGTGAACAGCGCCCCCTGCTGGCCTCACTAACACCTCTTCCAGCAGAACACCTATGGCGCTTTTCCACTGCATAGTACGGTACGGTTCGGCCCAGTACGCTTCGACTCGGCGCGGAACAGTTCGGCTCGCTTTGCGTTTCCACTGCAGTAGTACCCCTTCAAAGTGTGTGGGACTGATCGTTATTTGCGCGCGCCTGCCTCTACTGCCATGACATCATCTTAAAAGCGCCACATTTTCAAACCCACAACACAGGAACAATGGAGACTATCGAGGGGATGGTGTTCCTGATTCTCGGTATGTGGTTGTTTTTAACTGCTAGACGGAAAAATGTGTTTAAAATGAGGCTGATGGCAGCAAAACAAAAATACTGCTAAAAAAGTGTCTCGTGTCTCGTGTCGCAAATCCAATGACGCTAGTAGTGACGCTGGTAGTGACGATTCTGTCTGACCAATCAGTGATCTGCAGTGTTTCACGTCACATTTTAGTACCGGTACGGTACGCTTGGAACCTCAACAGACCAGGTACCATTTAAAGCGACCTGAACCGTACCGTACTATGCAGTGGAAAAGCGCCTCTAGTCTCCCATCCAGGTACTGACCAGGCTCAGCCCTGCCTAGCTTCAGTGTGTAACCAGTCTTGGTCCACAGGGTGATATGGCTGCTGGCCAGGAGGCATCCATGCAAAATCACTGAAAGAAATATTGGCATTTTCACCAAAACACTGCAGAAAAGTGGCAATTCGGGCGCCGTCCATTGGTGAGCATATCACTATGGCGAGCTGTAGTTGGCTTCTTGATGACTGAACGAGAAAGATTCTGAGGCAAGGACTGCTCAACTCCTCCTTATAAAGCGAGAAGCCCCGCCTCCAGTTTGGCCCCATTCCATGGGCTTCAGTATTTCTCAGAGAAAGAAGTTTCCCCATAGCATCTCATCTTCTGACTAGTAATCTGAACTTGAAAGGGAATTCTTTGATTGATTAATTGACTGATAGTGTTTATAATTTCATATGTTTTCTATTGTTGACAGGTTATATCCAGGTGTGTCGGGGTCTGATGATCGCTGCTGTCTGTCTGGGCTTCTTTGGATCGGTCTTTGCTCTGGTCGGCATGAAGTGCACTAAGGTCGGTGGTCTTGACCAAACCAAGGCCAGAATCGTCTCCTTTGCTGGGTTCAACTTTGTTTGTACTGGTGGGTTACATCTGTTTCTGTGACCTCTGAGCACTATTCTCCCCAGCTGAGGTGCTATACTCATATATATAACGCTGTTCCTCACCAGGTCTGTGTTCTCTGACCGCCTGCTCCCTCTACGCTCACAGGATCACCTCGGAGTTTTTCGATCCTATGTATGTTGCGCAAAAGTAGGTACCATGTTTTTTCCCTCATAAGAAGTGTGAGTGTCTGCAGTGATGAAGGTGATGAAGGCTGAGCTTCCTCTCAGGTATGAACTGGGCGCTGCGCTGTTCATCGGCTGGGCGGGCTCGACGCTGTGTATCCTGGGCGGTGGGGTGTTCTGCCTCTCGCTGACTGAAGGCATGAGCAGCAGGTAAACCACACACACGGTTCAAACAATCACATTTGTTTTTTTAATTAACAAATGACGAAGATGTTGTTTCCCTGTTGCAGCAGTTCGCCGTATCAGTCGGACAGAAAGACTTTCGTCAAAAGCGGAGTCGCTCTAATGTCTCCGCAGAGTCAGACGTCTCACGCCAGGAGACCTCCGCCAGACTGCATCAGCTCTTCACAACAGTTCGACAAGAACGCTTACGTATAACACACAGTCATATCTCATCGGGTTCTGTCGCTCTTTTATTGGCCGCCACATGTTGTGTACAGATCCTGTATTTAAGATTGGGTTGTTATAGCCTCTAAAGCGTATCTACTGCAGAATGTTTGTGTTTATGTTTACGCAGCACAGCATGAGATCATCTCTCCATAGTTGTGTTGTACTCCACCAGTTCGGGTGATTATTCATGTCTGGCATCAGTATCTATCCAGACAGAATCATGTTTCAGGAGATTTGAGTTTCAATATTGTCTGGAGATTGGATTGCCTGTTTTGCCAAGCCTCAATTATTAATGTGATTTAAGAAAAATGTTTTTGATGTTTAATTAAGAATCAATATAATGTTGTTATAAATGTTGCTTATTGTTGGGTTGATACAATTGTGCATAATATCTGTGTGAATATATTTGCTAAATGTGACCCTGGACCACAAACCCAGTCTCGAGTCGCACGGGTGTATCTGTGGAAATAGCCAACAATACATGGGTCACAATTATATGTTTTTCTTTAATGCAAAAATCATTAGGATATTAAGTAAAGATCATGTTCCATGAAGATATTTTGTAAATTGTCTACAGTAAATATATTAATAAAATATTTTTGTGAGTGGATGCAGAAAAATTGTGAACATAAATGGACAACTTTAAATGCTTAAAATTTTCTCAATGTTTCTTTTTTTTTTTGCACCCAAATAGTCATATCGCGGGCAAATATTGTCCAATCCTAACAAACCACACATCAGTTTTAGGTCAGTTTCAGGAAAATGGCCCTTGTGACTGGTTTTTAATCACATATTTGCTGAATTGTAATTGTGCCACCAGATAGATGATGTTTCAGGAAGGGCTTCACAGATTACGTCTCACTTCTCTGCCAGACACACTCCTGGCAGTATTTATAGTAAACCAGCGTCATGATGTGTGTACAAACACAACACCCGTCCCTTCAGGACTTTCTCTGAAAGGTCAGACCGCAAACTGCTCTCCTCCGCTGAAGGAACGAGAATGAGCGTGCGCTCAGAAGACGAGCGATGAGGAAGAGTCTGATCCAGGTGTTTGGGTTCCTGTTGTCCACGCTCGGCTGGCTCTTCGTCAGCTGCACGCTGGCCATGGACTACTGGAGAGTGCTCTTCGTAGGGGGCAAAGGCGGCAGCTGGATGATCAAGTCGTCCTGGTACTGGTCAAACCTGTGGAAAGACTGTGTGACGGACACGTCCTCCATCACCAACTGCAGAGACTACGATGTGCTGTGGGCCGTCACACGTAAGTCGTCTGGGGTGCGGAGGGTCTGTTGCGGGCAGAGAGTGAGTGATTGACTGTTGTGCTCTTGACTAGCGTATGTTCAGGCTGTGCGAGGGCTGCTGATGGCCGGCATGAGTCTGGGCTTCGTCGCCGCTGTGCTCTGCTTCATCGGCATGGACTGCACATACATCGGTGGAAGTGCGGAAAAAAAGGATAAAATTTTATTCTCCGGAGCTGCTTTTCATTTTGTCGGTGGTGAGTAAAACCTTTTATCCAATATTTATGCCACACAGAATCTGATCTGTATATGACACTAGTGAACTGAGGCACTAAAGCTCTGAGTTCTTCCATCGGTTATAAATCTGCAAGGTTCCTTCCTCCTAAACTAGTCAAGTCTCCTTTATTTCTATATACAGAGTGTTTCAAAGCAGCTTTACAAAGATAACAGGAAAATAATGTTTCTAGAAGAAAACAGCGTCACAGTCCAGCTTAAAGGGATACTCCACTTTTTTTGGAAATAGGCTCATTTTACAACTCCCCCAGAGTTGAACAGTTGGGTTTTACCATTTTTTAATCCATTCAGCCGATTTTCTGATATTTAGAAGAATATCAGTAACCACACAGTTTCTGGTCTCATTGACTTCCATAGTAGGAAATAAATATACTATGGAAGTCAATGACTGGAAGTCAAACTGTCTTGTTACTGATATTCTTCTAAAAATAAGAAAATCGGCTGAATGGATTAGAAAACGGTAAAACTCGACTGTTTAACTCTGGGGGAGAGGTAAAATGAGTCTATTTCCAAAAAAAGTGGAGTATCCAATTAAGTAAGTTCAGTGATGTTTCATTTTTGTTGTAAAAAGTTATTAGTTTAGTTAATTTGTAAATATATAGCCACTCTGGAGAAAACATTGCATTTTACATTCATTTGGCAGACACTTTTTTATCCTTACATTGCATTTCAAGGTACACATTTTTACAACCTTATCAGTACTTGCGTTCCCTGGGAATCGAACCCATGACCTTGGTGTTGCAAGCGCCAACAACACTCTACACTTTGAGCTTCATCGTCCAGCTCAGTTCAGTTCTCCTGTCAATGCAGGAGATCAATATTATCGTTGAATATTTAGTGTCCTCAACTAAAAGCCAAGGCGACAGTGGCGAGGAAAGTGACAGAATGGAGAAAAACCCTTGGGGCAAACCAGGAACTATTGTGAAATGATGAAACTGATGTACTCATTTGAAACATATTTGTTGGATAGTGTTGTGTTTGACCAGCATTCACCCGTACACATACTGAGATCTTGTTTCCTCCTCACAGGTGTGTCGGCGCTCGCGGCGTATTGTTTATACACAAACAGGGTCGCCAGCTCGGCCTTTTCCCCCACCGTCGACAGAAGTATTATAAGGTACGTGATACTCCAAGAAAAGGCAATGTCATACGCTAACATTAATTATCCAAGCTGGGATGTTTAATCGAGCAGTAGCACACGCGTGTGTTGGTTGCAGCAGGATCAACAAACTTATATACACACACAAATGTATACTTACAAAAAAAAGAAAACTAATGCACATTTGAGGAAATACTCAGGTGCAAAAAAGCGCCACGCAAAAATGCTTACCGATAGACATAAGGAAGGACAAGAAACTGGACAGGGAATATATATACACTAACTAAATAAATTAATTAACGTGGGACAGGTGGACACACACCAGGGCAAAGACTAGGAAACAAGGACAACTAAAACACGGAAAATAAACAGGAGCCAGAAACATAGAAACCTAACCGAGATCAAATGTTTAACTGAAGTAAAATTACATGAAATAATTAAAGTCACTTTATAGCTTTTTATCTGGTAGTCAACGAGGTGCGAAAGCAGGAGGAGAGGATGAGATGGCCAAGAGATGGGAGAGTGTGGAACAACAGCGCAAGATGGGCTGGCAAGAGCTTTGGTCAATGGAAGAGAGTAGGATCAGTTTCCTTATCATGTCCTCCCATCACCGCAGAACCTAAACCTCTGGGTAAGAGAGGATCCCTCTTGTCCTTTGTGTTCATCACCTGCCACATTAAGGCACATTCTGACAGGATGTAAGGTCGGTTTACTAGGCGCTATGACCAAGTACTGCGATGTTCGTGTAACGGAGGCCAGCTAGTGCGATTAAACCTCACTCCCCTGATCTCAATAGACACTTTAAGCACCAGTAGGGCTCGACAGCCTTATTCAAACGGGCTGGCGCGTATGGTTGGGTTGTGGAGAGATTGTGGTTACTGTAGGTCACACGTGAACTACGAAGAAGGAGCAACCTCAGCAGCAGGAGGGATGTAAAGGTCAGTAAGCTAGGCTGAGTTGAGTGGGGGACGGAGAGGGGTGACTCTGGGTCACTGTCGAGTCCGCTAGTCGAGGACGGAAGGTGCCCACTTGAAGAGATGTCCCCTACTCGGCTCAATCCAGACGCTTGTGGTGCTGGTCCACTAGGGAGACCACATTGTAGTTGCTGACGCGGCAAGTATACTGCTAATACAATTATATCTGTATTATATCGTGTGTATTATATCTCTGTGCTGTAGGTATGGCATTGGAACTCCGATATTCCTCGGATTGGCTGGAAATTTCTTAATAATTCTTGGATCTATTTTATATGCTGTGACAGTCATCCCAACTAGGTAAATATATGTTTCAGTTCGAATATTTGGTAATATTTTATTCAAAAGTTAAAATTAAAAGAGGGGGGGTGAACACTTATGCAGTTCATTATTCCAAGCCACATTGTTCCAGTGGCATTGTATAGGTTATTTTTTTTTACATTAAATCTACAAAAGATTTTAATTATTATTTGTTTATTTTTTAACAGTTGAAAAACAGCTGTTTTAATGTGATGTGTATACTTTTTTTATATTCACTGTAGCAAGAACTAAGGTAACACTTTACAATACGGGTGCACTAATATGCAAATGCACAGATAATCATGAGTTAATTTATAACTAATGAAGAACTAAACCATTAATTAACGATTACTGCATCAGCAACTAATAAAGAGTCTATATGATTAATAGATTAAGTAATACATGAATTGTTATTAATTCAATGTGTCATTGTGTATTAATTCCTTAATAACATATTTTATTAACTAATAGTGTAAATTAATGTGTTAATTACCACAGTTAGTCAAAGCTATGCACTTCAACTATCTGCTTTAATTAATCATTAGCTAATGATTTGCAAAGGTATCATTATGTTATGACTTTACTCGATGGGGCACATCATTATTAACTATAGTCATTTAGTAATTGTAGTAATTTGCACATGAATTTGCACTAACAATGAAGTAAGTAATCATGTATTAATGCATATTAGTGTACCTGTCATATTATCTGGAAGTTGAAATACAAGGCTTTGGCTCATTCTGGTAATTAACATATTAATTAACACTATTAGTTACAAAAATGAGTTATAATGGAATTAATCCACAATTACATATTTAATTAAAAACAATTCATGTATGAACTAATACATTAACCTTACAGACTCTTAATTAGTTCCTAATGTGGTAATCATTAATGAATAGCTTAGATAATCATTACTTACACATTAATTCAGTATTATCTGTGCATTAGTTAAGCTTATGAGTGCACCCGTATTGTAAAGTGTTACCAGAACTAACAATGAACAATATCTCCATACAGCATTTACTAACCTTTGTTAATGTTATTAGTTCAGAGTGCATTAATATTAACAGATACAACTTTTAATCTTAAAAATGTATTAATGTTGAGATTAATAAATGGTAGCATTTTGTATTCTTAGTTCATGTTAACTAAATGTATATATTTTGAAGTATCAAATGTGAAGATTGATGTACCGTTCTCTCTTCCAGGATGTTGAGTGCGTTTGCAGCGAGAGCAGAAGCCTCTCCGTCGTACGGCCAGCGGACGGCTAGTAAATATCTCTACGCTCCAGCGTACCGCGCTCCGTCGGGACTGTCCAGCGGCTCCAGCGGCTCCCGCGCCTCAGGGGACAAAATACAAGCCAGAGACACGTTTGTGTGAAACCCTAAAAGAGCTCTGTGACATGGCAACAGCAATAAAGTCTGAGTAGCTAATCATGTTGGGTTCACGTCTTTGTAAAAGTCTTGATGGTTTCAGTCATTGATCAACTAGTTAATATTATTACACTCGGGCGGCAGCCTGAAAAATGCATCGCTGGAAGAGGTTTTTCATATTTCATGGAAGGAAAGTGTTATTGCATACAGAAAGACCTTATCGC